TAGTGAGAGCATCTCAGTGTGTATCAGAATCGCATGCCGAGATATCGTTTATTTCCAATCCATCTAAATTTCATTCTTCATTTAGAAACAGAAGTTACATATACCCCTTGAGTAAGACAAAAGTCTTTGGTCTAAAAAAAGAAACAAAACTTGAATGAAACAGGAGCTATGTGCAGAAAAAAATCAGATGATCATTAACGGACATCCTAAAACTGCCCCGGTTTAATTGGCAATAGATAATAGCCCCAAGACCACAGTTAAAAATAATGTTCCATATATTTCAAAATATAAATGGCACAGAGATCATTAAGACAGCACAGGATGGCTGCCTCTGGAGTAAGTTACGGCCATGTGTCACTTAATTGGTTTCAGAGAAACTCACCAACTACTGCCTTATGTCATAAAATTATTGTGTGTTTCCTTCACTCTGGGAAGACAGAGAAACATGGCTTTCCTCAGCCCCAAAGGAAAGGGAAGGGCCCCCTACCACCTGGGGAGCTTGACTGATGACAGCTTTGCCCAGCAGGTGGGAGGCAGACCAGTCAAGCAGAAACACCAATGGCTGCCCAATGGGCTGCATGGACCCTCTTTCCATCTGGGGTCTGGAGCCCAGGGATTGCCACCATTCGCTTCCAGCCCTTTTCCTAGTACCACAGCTACACGGCTCTGGCCTCCCACTGCCACTTTCTCACCCAGTAATTTGTCTAAACTAGACTCCTAAAGGCAGGAGCTGTAAGCATGACCCTCTATAGTGGAAATGCAAAATAGTAGAGAAGTTTTCTAAAAAGCTGCTTTTCCTTTTGCAGCCCTGGGGGATCCTGTCATACATATTTAGAACAGAAATAGGAGCTGGGGGAAGGGATAATAATATTATAAGCAGACATGTATTTTTGCGCTTTTTGATTGAGATATAATGGACACATAACGTTATATTTAGTCCAAAGTATACAACATAATGGTTTCACATATTTATATATTGCAAAATAATTACCATAGTAAGTCTAGTTAGCATCCATCACCACACATAGTTACACATTTTTTTTCTTGTGAGGAGAATTTTTAAGACTCATACTCTTAGCAACTTTCAAATATACAATATAGTTTTGTTTACTGTAGTCACCATGCTGTACTTTACATCTCCAGGATTTATTTATCTTATAACTGGAAGTTTGTACCTTTTGACCACCTGCATCCATTTCTCCTGCTCCATGTTCTCTGTATCAGATGAGTTTAGGTTCTTTTTTTTTTTTTTAGATTCCACATATGAGTAAGATCATACAGTATTTGTCTTTTTCTGTCTGACTTACTACACTTAGCATGATGCCCTCAAGTTCCATTCCTGTGTCACAAATGGCAGGATTTCCTTCTTTTTTATGGCTGAGTAATATTGTATATATACATCACACCTTTTTTATACAGTCATCTGTCAATGGACACTTAATGTTGTTTCCATGTCTTAGCCACTTTAAATAATATTGCTATGAACATAAGGGTGTGGATATCTTTTCAAGATAGTGATTTCATTTCCCAGAAGTATAATTGCTGGATACATGATAGTGTGGTTTTTAATTTTTTGAGGAGCCCCCATACTGTTTTCCATAGTGTCTGTACCAATTTACATTCCCACCCACAGTGTACAAAGGTTACCTTTTGTAGTTGATCAACTCAGTAATCATTACTACTCTTTTCTTTATTGTGGTAAAAACAAAAACAAAAACATATAACATAAAATCTAACTCTCAACAAATTTTTAAGTGCCCAATATAGTATTGTTAACTGTATGCACATTACTACTACTAATGATGATTCTGAGGTTTTGAGCCAATCTGTATTGGCTTTTGGGTCTTCAACAGAGAATCTATTTTTACTTAGTAAAGTGTTTTTATTTATGTATATTTTTTAAATTAGTATTAAACCAGATAACAAATAGCTGAACATAGCATATCCTGACTGGTGGTCAAAATTAAAAAATAAATAAATAAAATAAAAAAATATATACCTACATCAAAAAGTTATCATTATAAGTTAGTCTAACAAAGCAAATGAATTGAGATTTTTTTTAAAAATGGAAACATAGGGGCAAGCAATTTGAGTAAGCGTGGCCATTGGGTTACATGTTTAATATATAGAATCATCAATACAATTGCTTTTTTCCAAGGCCGAGCAGACAACTGCTTGGGAGAGGGTTGCTCTGAACTCTTCTATCATGGCTAGAGTCAAAAAAGAGGAGATAAGTTTGCAAACCCAGGAATCTAAAAGGCAAGCACTATAGTGGGGCAGGAACAGGAACAAAAAGATTGAAATCACCAAAGAGAAACTTCCCGACTTAATGATACAAATCAAACAGTTTTTGCCTTACCTATTGAAGGGAATGTCTGGTAGAGAAGGGGGGATTTTAATTTAATCAATTAAGAGGACTTTCTCAGAGATGTTTTAGATCCCATGATTTCAAACCGTGACATTATGCTCTCCTTATGATCTAACCAAAACTCGTCCTCTTTGCCCAGAGCACAAATTTGACCTCCAGTAGGGCCAACATTCTTACTATCTCAACTCAGCCCATTCTTGTTGAAGAGATATACTGCAGCAGAGCAGTACTCTGTATAATGATTTATGCAAATATATAAAACACACAATTAAGTATTCCATAGTTTTCAGTTCCTTTAACTGCATTTTTAATAACTGCGTGGTACCAATTCTTTATCATGTACAAGGATTTTTTTTATTCTTCTAGCAGGATACTCTTGTATAGAGAAAGTTGCTCATTTGTCATAATTAATCTTCATCAAAAAGCCTTTTGGAGAGTCTAACGGTAAAGGGGATTATTTTTGATAAACCACAAAAAAAGATGTAAAGATATTAAAGAAACAGACCAGCTTGCAGATGACAGTTATCCACCTTTTAAAACCTTAAAGGAGAAAATATCTTTAGTGTCAAAATACTACAACCACACAATGTGCATCCTCTGTCTGCATCCCCAGATAATTAGGTCAGTAAGATCTGGAGAAATCACTGCTTTTGTTATAGGATCCTGCTGTGACATACACAGATAGGTCTACATTACCTAGGAAAAAAGAAAAAAAAATCAGACAATGCTGGGGCTTCTTTGTGAGTCCTTGTTCACACTTAGGTTTTTCACGTCATGTGCGTCCCTGAGAATAACATGGGACAGAGTACCAGGGATGAGGCTGAGGGACTGGGACCTCACTGATGCTCCAGGTGCCACCCTGGATGCATTTACTCTCATCCGTTCCACAGGGTGTGAAGCAGGGACTCAGCAATAGGGTCAGGCTGAGAAAGCCAGTTGACAGTGTAAAGGGGGATGCTATTCACAAAGCCTGGTGCTCTTTAAAAATGTGACTCTGTTTCCCAGACAATACTGTATCTTTCTTATGAAAAAATTGTCTATCTTAAAGGTTCCTCATGTGCCTAACTCATAACTGCTTATAACCCTGAAGTATTTTGATGTTGGACTTTAGCTGAGTATGGTTGGATATGTCATAAAAATAAAATTTGCTTTCCTTACACCAATACAATAAAACAGCTACTATAAATAGTGTTTTACATTAATAATATATTACATTTAGAAAGCAGATGATATATTTCCAGTTGCATGCTTAAAATATTCATGCACAGAGAGAAAAAAAGCATAAGGCATATACCAAACTTTTTATAGTGTCATTCTAGGAAGAGGGATAATGGGTGTATTTCTCTCCTTCCTTTTTCTTTTCTATATTTTGTAAGTGTTCAAGAATAAACAAGTACTATTTTTGGAAAAGGAAAGTGTTTTAAGATTGGCTCCCAAATGCTTTGACAATTGAAAAACATGAGCTCTATTGAGTCTGTATGTGAAAACTCCAGACTGTGCTGTCTAATGTGGTAGCCATAATCTCAAGCAGATATTTTAAATTATATTTCATTAAAAGCAAATTAATTTATTAACAATTTAAACCTTCAGTCATGCTAGCTACATTTCAAGTTTCAATTGCCATATTTTCATCATCACAATAAGTACTATTCACAATCCTCGTGGAGATAAGTTACCAAACTATACCCTGAAGACTACGACCAAAAGTGGGCCACTTTCAGTGGCTTAGGATTGGACATATGCATCTCAATATAGACACTGATAGACTCCTCCACACCATTCCCTTTTATACACTTCTCTAATCTATGGCCCAGTAAGCTCAGATATTTATCTCATAGCTGTTCAGCTAGTTAGTGACAGAGCAAGAACAAGAAACCAAGGCTACCAACTCCTAAGTCAGAGCTCTTGTCTCCATATCACAATGATCATCTTCTCCAGAAAACTAAAGCCTCCCAAGCAATACTTTAGTGTATCCTAATTTCATAGACATTCATGAGAGCTTACAATGTAGTAAGCACCATAATAAACCTTGAATATACAAAACTAACTACAGGAAGTTTCCCTATCCCCAAGAGTGTCAGAGTGTAAAAATAGAAGGAATGCTAGGTAGAGTGAGAGCACAAAGTAGGGACAGGTGTGTTCTTCTCTGGAAATCCATAAATGCTTCACATATGTAGATAGGCTTGAATTGGGTCCTGACATTTGTGCAACCAAATTCACAAAACATCACTTCTCCAATATTCTCAATTTTCCCCACACTCTGGAAGAAAAGGGTTTAAACTCCATTTTTGAAATGCAGTTGATCCCTGACCTAATACTGTTTTGTTTTGTTTTTAACTTTATGTGGGATAGTTAGATATGTTCAACTCTTTTACTCTCTTAACTTGAACTAATTCTCTCACTTTCAGGTCTTGTTCCGTACATGTACAATAACTTTAAATCTTCAAATGAAATCAAATAAAATACTTTTGTTTAAGATTTAGTCATCCATTCCATTTAGACTATATAAAAGCAAATAAAAAGCTCGAATAAATGGTTATTTTTCTGCCAGTTGTGTTGGAAATGTTTAAACACAGGTTAAGAACCTAGAGCTCCCAGCTCTCAAGTAAATCATGCTCCTTTATTTTAACAGATGCAATGCTGTTGGTGGCAGAACGACTGGAAGGACCATTCAACATTGAGTCAGTCATGGACCCTATAGACGTCAAGATATCTGAAGCCATTATGAACATGCAAGAAAACAGTATGCAGGTGTCTGCAAAGGTATTTGCATTAGTCATATGTCTATTAATAAGGAATGTGCAGTAATCTAAAAGTGAAGTAACTAGATATGTCGGCTGGGATTATAAATTCTAATACGTTGTCAGTGAGCTTTTCCTGTCAAGCTACAAATTTGCTACTTCATTAAAAATGTCTAACAAAATGGCATTGAGAAAGGAAGCAATATTTTAGTTTGCAACTACTCAATCATGAAGAAATTATTGGCTGCTAAAAAGTTTCAGAAAGTCCCAAGTATATTGACTAATCCCTCACATTTGTGAACAATTTGGGGGGAATTTTCTTTTTAATGTTTGAAATTTCTGCACACCCTTACTCTGTTTTGTCTCTAGCAACTTCTAATTATATTTTTCAACTGTGAAAACCAGGCAAATGTTCTATATGTTTAGTTGTAAATAATTAAACATTCCATTTGACTTCCTTTTTTTAAGGTTATGGTGTAACCTTCATTAACATATCTTCAGGGTAAAATGCTCCTTTGTGTGAAGTCAAGTCTTTAAAAAAAAAAAGTACATTTTCATAAATCATAGGAAACAGAGCTTCTGGGTTTGCAGCTGCAGAACAGAAACACCAGGTGCACAATTTTTATTTGTCCCCACCCATTTGAAGATAAACAGGACCCGCCTTAGGCAAAATGGAGAAGTTTGCAATGGGTCCCCATCCTTTTCCTTCATCACTCCCTTTTCACTCACATTGATGACTGCATAATGCCTTTCTGTTCTTTTAACCAGTCCCTGGTCACAAAACACCAACCAAATCTATAGCAGTCTTTTAAACCTGGTGACTAGGTGATTACATTTTAATGGAAAGGCATTCACACACAAATATGTCCAGCAAGAAGTTGCATGCTTAGCTTTCTTTGATTTCTAAAATCCTCTGTGAGATTTCAAATACAATCTAGGAGGATAGCATGGGTGGTAGAGAGAAATTGCAGAGTGAAAAGAGAGCCGTGGAATGCAACTAGGTCTCCTTGGCTGAGTGTGAATCAAAGTAGATTTTGGCTTTTCAGGGGGGAACTGGTAGCAAGTAGACTAAGAAAGAATATGGGTCCCTTCCTCTCTCTCCTTCAGAGATGGATGGGCCAAGAGTTCCGTAGGCCTACTTCTGGATTTTAATGAGCTTAAGATACCCTGTGTAAAGAAGGATGTTCCAAATTACCATCATCTGTTGGAGAAATAGCACATTTGGGGATTCCATGAAACTCTGTTTTTCTTTCCTGTGAAAGAATAGCAGCCTTCTATTCCTCCCAAGTCTATTGCCTAGAAACCAATTAATGTTATTTTGAGAGGTCAAATACCCCAGCAATCCTTGAGTAACCAGGCACTTAAGTTGCAGAAATAGGACGTGAGAAGCACGCGGACAATGCTGTTTGTGGCCTGAAAGCTCCCTACACTTCTTAGAAGCACAGGTTTTCATTGGCGTGTTCACATGTGTGTTCAAGTCAAATTCTTCTATTAAAATTTTTCTAAGAGGTCAGATGGACTCTTTTCATTACCAGAATATGGATGATACATTTTTGTGCAATTTGTCCAACTACATTATAATAGCATGGATGTCCCTAAGGTCTGTACTTTTAAAAAGACACATTTTCTTTGTAAAAAATGTCAAAATCAAGAGTAGCAATAATGTAGGATGTGTAAGAGTACACTCAAATGAGAGGATATAGTATTGAGGGTCATAAATAGTACAATAAATGTCAAATGAGCTAGAGACTTTTTTTTAATGTATCTGGGAGTAGTGAGAAAAGGGGGTGGAGTGAGTTAAGGAAGACAGAGAGGTTGGGGATCAGCTAGGGCTCTGCAAGAAAGAGGAATAGGACAGGAAGCAGAGATATGGAAGAGGGTATGGAGGGAGGACCAAAGCCAGCCTTTAAAAGTCAAGTGGAGAGGTAAAAGGTGGTTGGAATTTGAACACAGTTAGCAGGAAACACCAACAGGATTTGCTGATGGAACGCATATGTTCTGAAAGAGGTTTTATTTCATCAAGAGAATAGAATTTGGAAATATATAGTTTTATTTTCCCTATAAACCACATCCATGAAATTAGGCATGCACTAAAGTCTAAAATCTACATTCTAGCTAGAACTAGATCGTTGAGTTTTTCCTTTTTCAAAGGAACTCTCAGTCACTGTTGATAAACAGTCTCATCAAATTTGAAGTTCTGGGTTTCCAGACTTCCCTTGCATTATTTGCATAACGAAAAACTTTGTTAACTTCTGATAGGAGAGCTTTGGGTGAGGCCAGAAGCTATTTCCTAATTGGGGGCCAGACATCCTGAAAGTTGTAAACCTTACAAATTAAAATAACTTTTTACTCCAGGATATTACTGGCAACTTCTCCTTGGAAAATCATTTACCTTATTACTACAGTCATCCCCAGAATCTCTTTCAGAAAAGCAACAAGATTTTTTGTTTCTTGATTGCTTACTACCAAGGATGGTACTTGCTTTACTTGGTTTAGTTTATGTAACATATCAGTGCTTGTGATGAGATAGATCACCCCTCTTGTTTTCTAGATAAGAAACCAAGGCTTAGAATAGTTAAGGAATTTAAAACAGTCTTATGGTACATGAGAAGTGCATAGAGGAGTGCCTGACTGTAGAACCCATATTGCTAGTCACTGCATCAAAATGTGGGTACCTACAATGCCAATCTCATACAAGGGCAGGGTTTGGTAAATATCTGCTGAATAGATCAAGTACAAAAGGGAAGTTCAATAGCCTTCCTTCTGTAAAACCTGCCTGAGAAGGTAAGGAAACAGAGGCGGGCAAACCAGGAGGATCAAGTTGTCTGTCTTTCTGTCTGATTCCCTTTACAGCTATACCTAGAACTTCCCACCATGATAAATTCTAATGAAAGATTTCTCTTATCTACAAAATATAACAGTCTCCTTTTTTTGTTTCTTTCTTCTTCTATCTGAAGGCAAAAGTTGAACACATCATAGTTTCAGATATAAAATCCCCCTCCTCTAAAGCAGAGGTTTTCATTATATCTATAGTAGGAAGCAGCTAATCTTTTTACTTCATCACTGAAATCATGAGTTAGAGATATTCACAGACTAAAGAAAAGACTTATTCTCATCATGCATGTTAATGCTCCAATCTTGTCTTAGATCAGTTTTTATAGGTATTATCAGATCCTTTTTCTTCTTTTATTTAGCCCACAGCTAAGCTGTTAGGGGTAAGACAAACTTACATACCTTTTAAGAAAATACGTTGGCTAGCCCATATTTATAATGGAGTTATAATATTCTGGTAATAACATTATGGCACTCATTTCAAACTCTTGATTTGTATATCCTTTGTACAATATGTATATTTAAGAACAAATGTGTGTGTGTGTATATATATATATATATATATATATATATATATATATACACACATATACATTTTTAAGGACTGGGAGCAATAGCATATTAAAACTTTTATTTGTTCTTTTTGGGCAAATATTCACCTAGTAACAATGATAATCATGATGGCTACTATTGGTTGAGCATCTACTATATTTCTTCAACAAATATGCTGCCATGTACCAGACATGAGGCATACAGTAGAGGACGACATAGATTCTCTGCTCTCGTGTCAGTCTTTTTCTAGATGCCTTATTATTTATTTCAAATCCTCACAACAGTCTTTTAAAGCATTCATTTCCTGGTTTTATATGTAAAGAATGTTAAATTGAGAGAGATTAAGTAGCTTGTCTGAGTTGTTGCAACTAACAAGTGGCTGAGCTGAGATTGCAGTCCAGATCTGCCTGATCCAAAGAAAAAGATTTTCCCAATATGCCACTGTTTCCTCAATAAGTGTCTTCCCACCAAGACCAGATATACTTCAGCACTGGAGGAACCAACCCTCTTAGGGAGGGCTGTTGCCTGAAACATACTATAGGGAACCTACTAATAAGAAACACAAGCTGTTCATTCTTCAAACCCCAACCAAGCTTATTATATTCACCAACTTCATAATCTTATTCAAAGACAGTGAAACACTCTCATTATTCTAACACTTCTGTTATCTACCCAAATCAAAGAACGTTACAGGTTTCTGGAAATTTCCCAAAGGAAAGGCAGACAAAACTTTCTGAGTCTCTTGCCTGTGAAATTTCAGATGTGTTGATAATCTCCTTCTTATCCTATCAGAGAAGATGAAACTGATCTCACTTGACATAATTTAACTATATTAGCAGCAATTTCAAACCTAATCCAGGAAAAGATTGGTTTGTCGGATATAATCTAAATTAAGAAGGAAGACTTATTAAATTCCAATTGAAACCATCCATTCAATTAATGCTTATTACAGACAAGGGTAGAACCCATTACAGAAGAGCAGGATGGCCTTCAGATACTTAATTTTCTCCAGACAATGCTTTCTGAATCCACAGCTCAAATAAAGATGAAAAAAACCTAAGAGAATGGAAAAGGAATGTCATAATTTCTGCCTCTAACGAATGGGTCTTAGCTTCCTCATCTGTCAAATGAGGGACTGATTGAACTGTCCGCTTTCCAGCTCTAACAGTTTACAATTTTACCAACATTATCTCTTACCTAATGATTATGTTTCTTTTTCTAGCATCCAGATATTTTGCTTTTCTCTGGATCTTTACCCTTTCAAAATATTCAGATATACATAATATCTTTGAAATTCACATGGAAAAAATATCTTCTTTCAGCTATGAGGACATTATTTAGAATTTAATTCAAATAAATACATGTTTATTCCAATAGTGTTTATTTTCCTTCCTTTCAGCCCCTGTATTATGTGTGCCCTTCTTAAAGCAGTAAACATATTATTTCTTGTGCTATGGTTACTTGTGTACTTACCGCCTCCTTCCCAGAATTCTACATTATTGGAGGACAGGAACATCTTCCTCATTCTAACACGCTACAGAGAGCCATCTTAATAGGTCGTTTTACACAATGGAAGAATCAGTTCATTTTGCTGAGCTAAATTTCAAACATGAAAGCATAATGCCACAGAGACTTCAA